ATGAGACGCCAGGTCTCCTTTAAAAAGCCTGGTGTTGGCTTACACGTTTTGACCAAATAAACGCAGGTTTCCAATAGAGGATTTTATAAGAATTATCTCGATGTAATAGGAAACCTCTTAAAACCCACCCCCAGGCCTCGCCTGCTTGAAGCGGAGTTTTAAGTAGTCTTTGACTCCTACACAAATATACAAAAAAAACATCTGTCAAGATTACAGTGCTGCAACATCATCAGATAGTTTATAGATTGTCTCTACAATTCAACTCTGTCACTATTTTTTATGAACAACTATCATACCACCAAAAGTATAACGTAATTCATTCGACTTACCGGTAACATTGGTAAACAAGAGATTGGAAAAAAACCTCTGAAGCGATCATTAATCATCATGTTAGTTGTCAAATTGCTGAATAAAACTCAAGAGAAGCAGCCAGTTAGTTTATTTGCAGTTTTGTGCTAAAGGAATTAAAGGCCTGTCGCCAAAATAAAGGCAGGGGAGCTTCAGTGATTTAAGCAAAATAACCACCGCGGGCTATTATTAGGAAGTTTTACGGTATAGTATACGTTGTATGTCTTTAATGCATGTCTCGGAGGGAAATCTTTAGGGACCCTGCTTTTATTGGAAGATTTACGGTAGTCTGCATGGAACAATAATGTATTAAAATCCCTAAAATGTCATCTTCTTCTTCTACCTCATTTAAAACTGTGTGTGCACTGATGGAGCTCAGAGAAACTGTCCACTCTCAGCTCTTCTAGTGTCAAACTCTGCACATACATCATTCAAACAATCACACCGTAGGATATAATAGATAATGACTGATAACTTCTGAACTGATTCTGATTAGCTTTAAGAATGCAGTCAAATCAAATTAAAATTGTTAATCAAGTATGAAGTTATTTAGTGCTGATGGGATTAATAACAGAACATTCATAGACTTTAATTATGATACTGGAAGTAAAATTAGCATAAATCTGAAGAATGAAGGATTAATCTGCTGTATTGTTGCTCATAGCAGGAAGGAGTTTAATACCACAAACCATCAATATGATCTGAGCGACTTCATCTGGGAATCTGATGATCACTACATGGGCAAATATTGCGTCACTGTAACCGCCATACAGGGAGGAACCCGGTCTCAACCAGTGAAATCTAAAGTGTTCGCCTTTAACGATTTAAAGACTGCCACTAAATGTAAGTAACGTGTATACGTAAAGATGTGTTTATTCCCCTGTAAATCAGAAGTACTAAAATGTGGTTCAAGATAGAAGATTATGTTCGAGTTATTATAATTAAAGTGTCTTTTGCATGAATAAAACTTAAATTTCTCCTCGCAGGTGAATTAGATTTCCCTCCTGTGGCTCTGATTAAGAAGGATTCAGGGGCCATGATTAGTTTCAAGAACCCCTTCAACTTCTACAGAGAACTGAAACTGGCCAAAAAGAAGGATTCTGCCTTCATTTACTTCACTGTCGTAGTGCCACCTGATGTAAGTACAAATAAAGTTTAAAAGATTTTACAGCAGGATGCGCTGTGTATTTAAAGAGCAGCTTTCTTCCATATCTGCATCCCTAATGTGGACGTTCAGAACAAAATAAAAACAAGACAATTTGTCAGTGTGGGCGCGTTGTGATGGAGCGGTTGGAGTAATACTGCATGCTGGTTTAAAATGGTATGAAAAGTCATTCAGAAGCTTGATAGCAGGGCTTACGTTCATGAGGGTGGTTGTCCAAAGTGGCCTCCTACAGACCTTAATGAGTCTGTGTAGATTTCCCCTCATAAAAAGCAGCAATGAATGTCACTTCACTCAGAGATACGCTCCAAAACAATGGATGTCAAATGGTCCTTACTGTCATAACATATAAATAAGCCAAGCTAATTATCTTTGTTCTGTGACTTTCAGGACGAATATGACAGTAAATGCTACTTGGATCAGGAAGACTGCGTCTTTTTTCTTAAGGGTGTGGAGAAGTGTGTGGTACTGAAAGGACGGTTGTATGAAAGTCCTGCTGGCGGCCAAGTGAAGTTTAGAGAAAAAGACCACATCTGTATGACTGAATCCACCGGTAAGGTTTCCTCAAAGATTCTCACTGCACCAAAAACGTGTCTGTACGTGTTTGAAAGAATATTTAGCATGTTGACCTTTTACAGAAGAAGAAGATCCTTTGCAGCTTCTTAGAGGGACAAAGTGGCGTTCAGGTCTGTGATGGCCTTGAATGTCCGGTGCTGCAATAAAATTCAGCATTCCTGCATTCAAAACCTTACTTAAGTCAAAGTTAAATCAGCTAAAACTACTGTGCCTCCAGGACTTCACAGGGGTTTTTGGGGGGGTTGTTGCGGTCTAAAAGGCTTCACTGCAGCTTTTCTAAAAAATTGAATGGTTTTTAGGAAGTGAGTTAACAGGTTGGTATACTTCTAAACTACTAATGCTAAAAATCAAAGGCAACTTGTTGCAGTGAGAATAATATTGCTGTTGCAGTTTGGTAACGTATGGTTCAGTGTTTTGCACGCAGGAACTGCTCTGATTGGGCAGAATTCACAGAGATTTGAAGGTTGAATTTGTGTTAAAGGAGGTTAAAGTATTCCAATTCATTCTGCAGTAAAATGTTCCCTGTCTGTGTTTTACTATTATATGAATGTTTTTGGATTAATGTTACTGCTGCAGTAATGCCTATGTTGTATGTGACTGCTGTAGATGTTTAAGATTGAGCTCATTTTAAATACTTTTATAAACTGTTGGGTTGTTTAATCTGAAGCAATGCATCATATTCTTTAAGAGCTACATGTGTTTGTGCATCAGGGAAAATCTCTGAATAATTACAGGAAGCTAAAACATATCCAACGTATATGACCACCTATCCTTTGAACACTCCTTCTAAATCCTAAAATGTCCGAACAATGAAACTTAATTCTTTTTTTGATTGCAGACTTTCACATGGTAACACTTGTGATCCTGCTGTCCGTCGTCGCCGTCGTACTCGTTGTGGTTATGACTATCATCTGTAAGGTGAAAGCCTGGACGATGGACAAACTACCCGATCTGCCCAAGCCTCTGGTAAGGCTGGAAAAAAACAAACATTGATAATCATGTTGCTTTAGTTGTTTTTAACCTTTTGTATAAAACCCTTTTTGTCCTCTCTGTCTTCTTGTCCCAGTGGACGGTCATCAGAGAACAGGGCGTTTATCCTACTGACGGCTCTACGGACTTCCATCAGGTTTCCTGTGCAGACGACTCTGTGAGAACGGAGTGTCTTTCAATGGATGAGGAGGAGGAGGAAGAACAGAAGGAGGAAGAACAGAAGGAGGAAGAACAGAAGGAGGAAGAACAGAAGGAGGAACAGGAAGAGGAGGACATACCCCTTGACAGAAACTATGACAGACATCACTTTGTGCAGATGGACATGGGCGATGGAGATATGGTCGATGCTTACAGCGCGAGGTAAACCTACCGTCTGAGGACTCGATTTGGGATTTAAGTTTAATTTAATGGTGATTTTTACCTCCAAGACCGCAATCACACGTTCATACCTCTGGGCTGAAAAAAGCCTAAACCCGGGGCACTCGGGGAAGAGCTGGTGCCTTGCTCAAGAAGAGACTCCTGAGGGAAGCTTCTTCTTTCTGACTGCACTGTTGTAAACGCACGGATTTATGAATCTGAAATGTGACAATTAAGGCCTCCTCTCCCTCCAGATTTCTCAGGATCGTAAGCGGCATTGAGCTGCAGAAAACCAATCGCTTATCAATACACACACTCTACCTTCAAGGCCCTGACACATCAGCCAATGTGGGGCCATCGGTGAACGTCTGCAGCCCTCGTTTTTAAGTGAGCAAAGCAGCAAACGACTTTGTCAAGAGGGCAGGAAATGATCGTCTCATTATCCAACTTCACCTCGTCCGATCGCTCACATACACGGATATCCTGGTGTTCTGTTTTGATTAACAAATGAGCAGCGTTGTCGGTTTTGGTGTGTCGGGGCCTTTTAGAAAGCACATTTAATGATCTCGTTGGTTTGCCTTTTAGCTGTTTTTGGAGACTGAAGGACACTCAGGGACTAAAGCTGCAACACAAAGAGCATTCAAAAGACCATGTGGAGTG